AATCTAGCTATAACACCTAGCAATAAGCCGTAAATCTAGCTATAACACCTAGCAATAAGCCGTAAATCTAGCTATAACACCTAGCAATAAGCCATCAATCTAGCTATAACACCTAGCAATAAGCCGTAAATCTAGCTAGAACAACTAGCAATAAGCCATCAATCTAGCTATAACACCTAGCAATAAGCCATCAATCTAGCTAGAACAACTAGCAATAAGCCATCAATCTAGCTATAACACCTAGCAATAAGCCATCAATCTAGCTATAACACCTAGCAATAAGCCATCAATCTGGCTAGAACAACTAGCAATAAGCCATCAATCTAGCTATAACCCGAAAATCCAGCTATAACACCTAGCAATAAGCCGTAAATCTAGCTATAACACCTAGCAATAAGCCATCAATCTAGCTATAACACCTAGGAATAAGCCGTAAATCTAGCTATAACACCTAGGAATAAGCCGTAAATCTAGCTATAACACCTAGCAATAAGCCGTAAATCTAGCTATAACACCTAGCAATAAACCGTAAATCTAGCTATAACACCTAGCAATAAGCCGTACATCTTAACACCTAGCAATAAGACATAAATGTAGCTAAACCACATAGCTAAAAATCATACATCTAGCTATAACACCTAGCTAAAAGCCATAAAACTAGCAATAAATTAAGTATAGCAATACATTAGTTTGGTGTTTATTGTGTCAAACTTTGCCAAAACATTCTGACAATTGCAGACGGATAAAATGTCACGTATGCCAGATTTTATCTCTCTAATGCAATCGATCTTTGGACGATAATAATGAGGCTATACACAGGTTTACGGAGTAAGGCATACCTGTACAATTGATATCAGCATATGTGTGTAGTTAGCTGTGTTTTCTGTTTTAAACAAATCTGCATCTTGAGTTGATCTCCTATACTGATCACAAATATACAATCAAAGCCAACAAAAGAAAAGTAAACAATGCTTTTATTAATAAAAATATAAGATATATGTAAAGATATATTCCAGAATTGTTTATGAAGAGTTAGCCTTAGTTTGATTGAGGATATTTGACAAACACTTATCCACTGCTTGGTTTAACATACAAAATAAGTTTACCTGGCATCAGTTGTGAAATAAAATACATTCAAACAAATAAATATTACAGTTGAATATTGTTATAATGACGTTGTATATCTGGGTTATCGAGTGTAGACAATTAGTGTCCTGAGGTGGAATGAATGTCCAGCAAATGTGTATACACATATTAACTACAGTAAACTATTTTTTTCCTACTTACATAGACTTTATCAAACGTAAACTCGTGTGAAAATGTGTGCAAGGTACTGTACTGAACCGATGTGGCTGTAAAGTCATTTGTTACAGCTATATGTATTTGGACCTAATCTAAGGTGTTAAGAGTACTTTTACACATTTGGGGAGTTTAGACCAATTTTTGGTAGTTTAGGTCCAAATATAGCTGTTACAAATTATCAGGCCCCTGTGCTGGACTTGATTACCAGGTTATAGTTCATTTAACAATTAATTTGATCTTTTTATGGTAAAGCTATGTGTGAATGCATGTGCGTCCTATGTGTGGCCAAAATGGCAATTTTTTAAGACTTCAAGAATTACATGGAAAAATTTGTTTAATGAAATATTTTCTTAAATCATAGGTGTTTTAATAAAACATACCTTAAATTTACTTTCATTCATATGAGATTCAAGAATCTTTTAAGAAGAATTTTCCACTTTAGCTTGTTATTTAAGATTATTATTAGTTGATTTTGTAAATTACCAAACAGCTACCTTATTGTATAGGATTCATTGCTCAGTGTTAGATCATCAGCCACTGTAGCTATGATGTAAGTCATCTATTTTATAACAAAAACTTGTTATTCTGCAACCAGGGATCGATGAGGTCACAGAAACAAAACCTATATCTTCATTTTTCTACCAAATATGTTGACATATGACACACCATTGCATTCCATAAGTCATTTCCGATATTAATAAACTGAAATTTACATATTGTTTTAGGATTTCAGAAAATAATTTTCGAACAACCAAATCTTAAACCGAAGAAATTTGTGAGGAATATTTACCTATAACACTAAAATCCGAGTTATCGCGAATGAACTCTTGAAGTAGTACTCAAAATCATTTGCTTTCTTAAAACAGAAACTTCAGTTCAGACCAAATAGTTTATGTCAATGTGAATAATAGCGTATGGTATTTTTGGTGTTATATAAATAGATCACACACCTGATAGATATAACTTCTAGTCAGGTAAAGGTGACTGTATAACGAAAGTTGTAATTAGGGGGGGTGTAGCTCTTACACATATCACAGATATATGATGTTAATTACCTTTTATCTTTAAACTAAAAACATCACAAATTTTGTGTCTTCTGTAAGTCATTCATATCTCTGAACATCAACTATATCAGAAAGCACATAAAGACAGATCTTCTATGAGTCACTTTATGGGAAAAACATTCTCCTTTATTAGAAAAAAAATTCAGTGCCATAATAATCTGGATGCTTCCCATAAAATACAAGCATTGACTGTTGAGGACCGAATGTCATAAAAACAACTGATATCAGCTTTATATTGTAGTGGCTCCGTACGAGATTAAAAGTAAAAATAGCAAACCTGAATACTACAGAAACAATACACCGGGACAAATTCAGAACTCAAGATAAACAAAAACAGTAAAGGAGGAGACACCGAAACAAAAGGAAAGACAACATGTAAAATAATCTGAAGTGAAATCATCTGTTCCAGAAAGGCAACTATTTCCTAAAAGCCAATCAATTTTTTCTTTGTGTACTTAATCAATCTGCCTATTGGTACAAACTAAAAGAAATATCACAACCAATACAGATTCGCTATACAATGAATTAAGAACAAAACATTCATATACGCAAAAACTAGCAATGGCGCTTACAAATACAAAGTACCAGACCACAGGACATGGCGCATACAGATCCTCACCGTGAACAGCGACAAACAAATTTGTCAAGACTGCCCCGTTATCAAGACACAAATATGAACAATTATAAATTACAGCATATAGCTAGGGCAGAGAAAAACAGTTACCATTAAACAATCCTACGTCACAAAATATAAAACAGAAATCCAGTTATTAGCGAATTAATTATATGCTGATGTTAAAGCATATCTCCTCAATCTATAGTAAATTTTCTATCTTGAATCATAAATAGTGTAATTGTGCACTTCAGAAAATAAATATACGAAAAAATGTAATAGAAACAGTACATAGTTATATTTTCTATGAGAGAGCAAAGTATTCTATATCATTCTTATGTATAGAATGGGGGGATCAGTACAATTACCATGGTAACGGAGACAACAAACAACACTGTGATTGTAGCCTGGTTGGGTTTGTTTGTGTTTTATGTCCTATTAACAGCTATGGTCATTTAAGGATGTGCCCGGTTTTGATGGAGGAGAGCTGGAGTTCCTAGAGAAAAACCATTGACCTGCGGCCAGTACCTGGCGACTGCACCACTTAGGCCTTGAACCCGCGACCCAGTGGTGGAGGGCTATATTGATTCAGACGGTCAGACGCCTTAACCACTCCGCCACCGTGTATGTATTTTATCATATTACTAGCTGTGCATAGGCCACACTTCTGTCTAATTTCTATCTGCCCAGTTCACAAGTTATTCTTATTCTACTTAAAGTACAACTGATTCTAACTAGTGCATCAGTTATTTGAGACCAAAGTGTTCCTGTTCATAATGCTGATATTACTAATAACCGCTGACAGAGTGTAGTATACGATAGGGTGATTTCCATCATCAGCCATTTACCATAGTCGGGCTGTTACACCTAATGTGCTTACACATGCTGTTAAACAACAACCAATCACTGCCTTGCTTTCAAATAATCAGGCATGCACAGACGACAACTAGTTGCTCTGGTCCGACCAAAGGAAATCGGTAGGTTGTACCATAGTGGCCAGACATGAGCATCGTAACTGCCTGTTTCTTTCCACGTACTCTAGTTAGACCACAGTCATTATAGTTGATATAATATCATTTACAATATACGGCCACGTCAATATCAAACCCTGATTCTTGGTCCAGGGGTCTCCGGTTGATTATTAAGGTAGAATATATGGATATATAAAATCATTTAAACAAATAAACATAAAATATACAATATGGAAATGTTTTAATAATAATTAAACAAACTGTGGAGAATAATATTATTATGCATAATTTACCATACCACGCCGCAATATCACGAAACTTCTCTGAGAAGGTTCAATTTAAATGTTTAAATTCCACATTTACACTAAAATCTTTTCTAGATTTGAAGATATTTTGGCGATTCATTCACTTAATATTTCATCACTAAAGTTAAAAACCAAGAGGTGAAAAAAACCCACTTTTCACTACATAATTAATACTAAGCTTTCAAACAAAATATATATAGCCCATAAAATAATAACATTCTCATGATTAATTGTTTGGTCAATTTAGGAGCGGGTACTTGTGAAATCTGTTTATCACATACCTATGTAATCTTACAATAGTAATACAACAAATTTCTGTTGAGGCTTTCTGTCGGTTTGTATCAAACATGTGTGATACAAGTGTTTTATCACCATGCTAGCCGGAACTACTTTTTATGGGAATCCCCTTGTCATGGCGAACTGAAAAGTTTCCGGTATTTGCAAAAAATATCAAAGTTTATAAAATCTTTGTATCGATCTCTACCAAATACGGAAGGAATGTGATAAAAGCAAGACCACACACTTGTGTTTTTCTAATGAATCAGAAAGCGCTAATTTATTGTGCGGACGTATATATTCACACTCTTGAATATATTCGTCCGTGCAATAAACTTGTGCTTTCTAATTCGTTAGAAAAACACAAGTGTGTGGTCTTGCATATGTACCAGATACTGCTAACAAATAAAAATAATGCTTAAAGAATAATACAACAATTGAGGACATAGTCTGTATCTGTATCAAATACAACAAGCTTGATATATCATCGAACATAGACGAATCTTCATGAGGACTGAAGTAGTCTCTGTCCCATCTGATTCTGTCCTTGGTACAAAACTTTGGACATGAGAAAATTATGGGTCAACAAGTATTCCAAAGCAAAAACCTGACAGCAATTTCCATATTCTGAATTCATATTGAATTCAAATTAACGTTTCTAATTTGCTGAAAAAAGACATCTTTATGGAAAGTATATTGTAGAATTAAGACTTTATCCTGGAAAATAGTGTGCTTCCACCTGGGATTGAACCCGTGACCCCTAGGTTCCTAGTTGGATTGTACCACTGAGCTAAAGGGAAATTAGACCTTAGAGCTCGAAGCTAGAAGGCGACCGTAATCCTACGTACTATTAAAATCTGTCACAACAAAAACTTTGTAAAGGTAAATCGTGAAATAATAAGTTGTTCCTGGTTAATATATGTACATTAATTTCATTTAAAGGCACTAGCAATGTAAGACACACTAATAAAATGTATTACCTGTAACTGAGCGAGGTCGGGTTATCTCAGTCGAGAGCTAAGATTCTGTAACATAATCCCAACTGAGGCATAAGGACAAATGTAGTCCTGAAATAAGTCCAGAGGGCCAACATAATCCTGAAATAAGTCCAGAGGGCCAACATTAACCTGAAATAAGTCCAGAGTGCCAACATAATCCTGAAATAAGTCCAGAGGGCCAACATAATCCTGAAATAAGTCGAGAGGGCCAACTTAATCCTGAAACAAGACCATAGGGCCAACATAATCCTGAAATAAGCCCTGAGGGCCAACATTATCCTGAAATAAGTCCAGAGGGCCAACATTATCCTTAAACAAGTCCAGAGGGCCAACTTAATCCTGAAACAAGACCATAGGGCCAACATAATCCTGAAATACATTGTAAGTCCAGACGGCCAACATTATCCTGAAATAAGCCCTGAGGGCCAACATAGTCCTGAAATAAGTCCCGAGGTCAAAAACATTCAGCTTATTCAATTCTGATTCATTTAACAAGAGATCCCAGAGGTGCCCACCATTGTACCATCTTCGTTAGTTCTATGTCAGTTTGATCAGTTTGCCTGTCCGCCATCTTAATCAGTCTTTTGATCAACCTCAGAAGTTAACATGCACATACAACTCAGGACCAAGTCTTCCAAAACATTCTGAGAAATACTGATAACAAACTTAAACTGTAGCAAGATGGCCACCTGTTTGCATCTTGGTTTTCAGATCAGTCCAAAAATTAAGAACCAAGAGGAACCCTTATGTGAAATTTGAAAAAGATCCCTCCAATGCTTTTTGAGCAATAGGGCTAAAAATCTGTTACTCCCAAGTTCAATATGACCACCTGCCATCCATCTTGGTTTTCCAATACAGGTAAAGCTTACCAATAATGTTTACATTTGGACATGATTGAAGGTCTGATTATACAGGTTTCACAATAACACAGGTTAAGCTTACAATTAACTGTTTACATTTGAACATGATTGAACGTCTGATTAAACAGGTTTCACAATAACACAGGTTAAGCTTTCAATTAATTGTTTACATTTGAACATGATTGATGGTTTTCTGTTTACATGGTACAACATTTCTGTATCAATGTATAAAATATACAATAAACAATTTGTTTTCGATGGAATGTAATTATCAAGTCACTGTATAATATTTTCTATCAAAATTCAATTGATTATTTGAATTATGTATATAAATATAATTATATATATTATTCCAGTTATTTTACAAATAATTATGAAAGCTATATATGATATGCAAATTTTGTGCATTCAAATGATAGAATCTGAGAGTTCAGATTTATCTAAAATTTATATACATTTAAAATCACTTTCCTTTTGAATTTAAAAACAAAAAGGTATGCTATAAAGACATGTTCGTATAGATTTTTGACTTTCATCATAAAAATCGTGTTTCTTCAAATGATCTTTAGAAGTTGAAAACATGTTATTATTACATGACTGATTGTATTATTATTTCTAAAAATAAAATACATAAAAATGATACATTTTAATTCAGATTATTGTTAAATTTCATATTCAAAATCAGGACATCAGCATATAAATTTATTCAGATGATTTGAATTAATTAACTTGATTACATAAGTCAAACTATAGAAGTCAAATGTTCAAATTAATTTCTTCTGAAAATAAAGTTCAGAAATATTATGACACTGTGTTTTTGTGTATATTATCTGATTGTATGGTTTTGAATATCATACACATGTTTATTTTGCTTACAATTTTAATGATTTCAAAAATATCTGTACAATGAAATTGAAGATTGACCTTAATTTGTTACATAATACAGGCTAAAACTCAGATGGAAATTGTCTTGATTTTCTCTTATAACGAAAGTGAATCAGGAGGAAAAGCTTGAACATCTGATAACACGGTTCTTCAGGAGCGGTATGAGGATTTTTTCCAGACCAATCATCGGAGCCTCTACTGCCATAGATACGATGTATGCAGCAGCGTAGGACAGAACCAAAATACCGATGAAATAGCAGATCTGGAAATACAAGAAATATATTCACTTTAGTAGCAGTTATACACATATACAGTAAAACATTATTATAATGTTCCTAACCACGGATAATAATTTGTGAACCGCTTTGAGACGACCTACAAACTAGGTTGTGATAAAGTGGTATATAAGAACCTCAAATTATTGACATTGGTCACCTTGTGATTACTTACGGCCAAAATGTTAAAATTTTCCCTTTTCCTTATCAATATCTTTGTATTTCTCTCTCCATGTGTTACCAAACCCCTTTATAATAGCGATATTTCACCAGACATATGGCGGCAATATACCTTGTTATACACTGACCTTGTGATACTGCCATCATTGGTGAGAATTGGCAGTATAATGAGTGGTGGTTACATACTTGGTGGGATACATACAGAAGAAGTATTCAGAAATAAAATAGGATATTTATCTACAACAGTGGATACCAAGGTTACATTTTAAAACGATTTACATTCTGTAACGTGCGAATAGCAACCCATTCATGCCAACTACTGACCACACTCGACATTGCTGAACAAGTGAGCGGGTCCGCGGGTAATACCGCATCACTGGAAGAGCTAGCTTGCCAGTAAGGCAGTATTTCCCCTCATATACCTTAGATGCCCCCCCCCCAGAGACTTGGCCTGGGGAATCTCGTAGGTCCTCTCTGTGTATCAATGCACCTTCCCTAACCACCGGGAACTAACCTTACACGATCACAGAGTCATTAGTTGCCACCAAATGTAACATGCGTGCGGTCACCCATCCAGCTACTAACCACACTCGACATTGCTGAACTAGTGAGCGGGTCTGCGGGTAATACCACATCACTGGAAGAGCTAGCTTGCCAATAAGGCAGTATTTCCCCTCATATACCTTAGATGCCCCCCCCAGAGACTTGGCCTGGGGAATCTCGTAGGTCCTCTCTGTGTATCAATGCACCTTCCCTAACCACCGGGAACTGGCCTTACACGATCACAGAGTCA